CGTCGTAGTATAGTATAAAAGCTAAACGTCGACGACTTCGTGATGATGTACAGCGTTATTACAAGTATATAGGACTGCTATACGAGCCATATATTACACGACAGCTTTGGAGTGAACATTTTTTTACGGAAAAAAATAAAAATGAAAGAGGAAATGAGCTTTTCTTCTTTTGACTTTGTTATTTCGCATTTTTCAAACATCCGCGTTGTGTACTATATATACTGCTACATTTAATTAATTTGTAGATATTCGAAACTATGTAAAATTTCTTACAAGCCTGATCCAATTTCTCTCTCCCTTTGTCTTCGTCTTTATCCCCCTGGTGCAATTGCGTCATAAATTATAATCGATTTCGAAGCGATAAGTCGGTCGTCTCTCGAATAGCGCAATCCCAATGTGGAATTATATATAGAGCCGACTAAAGCGAATTCCAAAAGCAGCAACAGCAGCAGCGGAGCAATTTAATCGATCCCGCAATTACACATATATATGCTTCTGCTGCTGCCTTTGCAGCGAGTCTGCATTATTTACAAACGAGCAAGAGATGCGAGCTGCGAATAGACCTGCCCGGTTTATACGCCGATGCGCAGTTTATAGCCTAGGCTTTTTAAATATTTCAAAGCCTCGAGAGAGAGAGAGAGAGAGAGAGATGGAGAGGAGCCTGCGAATTTCCGGTTGCACCAGAGGCGCAGTACCCGCGAGAGCAGTTGTATAGTCTTGTATACCTGGCCTGCGAAGTGAGAGATCGATAAAAAGCGATGCTGACTGTGTCACACCGAACGCGGCTTCGCGCACTTTTGTTGTAATACACGCGTGTACAGGCGGGGGAGGCAATACAAAAAACTCGGAGCGCGTATATACACACGAGGCAAGGGAATATGACGCAAGCAACGCAAATTTCTATGTACCCACGATGCAACTTTTGAGCCGAGAGAAAGGTCGGCGGCTATTTTGACTGCACTACATTTCCTCTCTCTGTTTCCAGCGGCAGCTAAAAGGATAAAATTAGGCTACGGCCGAACTGGCTGCTGTGTGCACGCGAGTGTATAATGAATTGGCATCGCGCAACAACGAGAAAAAAAAGGTTTACGTATTATACACGTATACGAGAAACATCGATTAAATTCCTCTAGCGAGAGAAACGGCATCGCTTCATACGGACACATTGCAGCGGCGGTGGTGGTGCGGCCTTGTTTTTCGACTGCGCCGAGCTGCTTTTGTTCTACCGTACATTATAACGATTCGAATGTGTGCTGTACATCTGTGTGTGCGTATTTTTGCAGTGCTCCAAAGCGTTCCGTACCTACACGCACATATGTACACTCGGGCTTTATCGAATAATACAGAGTACAAATGCGAGCACAAAATTGCGTTTAATTGGTTCGGCCCGTGTGTGCACCAAAGGTGCAAGCGGCGGAGTCGGGGGCGCGCGCGCCCGATTCCGAATGAATGTGCGTCAGCGAGGCACAAAGTACGCGCGCGCGTTATAAGATATTTTTGAGCACGAAGAGAGCGGAGTTGAAAAGGAAAGAGATAAAGAAAAAACTGAAATACTTGCGTAGCAAAAGAAAGGATTAAGTGACGCCTAAATGTGTATAACACAATTGGAGGTCTTTTACTTCGAATGATCGAGAGCGTATCGATGAGAAAACCAATATTTTTACTATTATTATTATTATTTTTTAATTGATCTATTTGCATGGATAATATCGATAGATATACGAGACACAACAATCATCATCAACATTAAGACGTAACAAAATCGAGCAAAAGACACGTTAAGTTTCCTTACAAGGCACTCAACTGAAGAATTTGTATTTGTTTCCGAGAAGTTTAAAAAAAATAAAAATAAAAATATTAACACTGGAGAAAAACTCCACAGCCAGGGTAGAACTGAGAGAAGGGCGCCAACGAAGATTTATTGGATTTCAATCAAATGCTTAGTACAGCAGCAGCTGCTGCGCAACTATGTAGCCCTGGTCGAAGCTTCAAAACATCAAAACGCAGTCGATAAACCGCTTTGGCGAACAGTAAGGAAGAGAAAATTTCGTTAACGATGTAACGATGCATCGTCGCTGTGCGTAGTACGAAACTTCCATGGATGTATCGGACTGCACTCACAGAAAGAAGTGTACATAAGTGTACGTTTTTCCGATTTGTCGTCACGAGGTTCGAAGGGACCGCACGATGTACAATACGCACCGAGCTTTCGTAGTGCGAGCTTGCGGGTTTATATACAGGTACTAATCACGCGCGAACAGCAGCAGCACTTACAGAGAAGCGAAATAGACTCGAGAGAGAGCCAGGTTTACGTCGAGATCGTGTTTACGCACATTATTTACCCGTGTAAAGGATCTCTAGTCTCGTTCGTCAAAACCATTATACACCACCTGACGTATATATAATACGCAATTCGCGGCGAAATAGTAAATTGCTGCGGGCCCAGCGTTTACAGCAACGATTGCGCGATCTCGAGGTTTTCGCACCGTTGCTGCTGCAATTATTCATTGAAGCAATTATTCATTAACGACTGGTGCGGGTTTTCGAGGTACGCGGCACGTATGCGTGCTTTGCCGTAGAAACAAGCAGCAGCAGCAGCAGCAGTAACCGCGCTGAGTGGCTTTCAACGTGTACACGAGAGACAGAGAGCGCCTAAAATACGATACGCAAGTGCAGGATTTCAAATTAGAACATAGCTGGCACCGAGAGAGAGAGAGAGAGAGAGAGAGCTTGCACCTGAGTATCTCTCTCTCTCGCTCACTCTATCGTATCTATTGCGCGCGTAACAGCACGTATACGTACACACCAGCACCAGACGTAGCTGCTGCTGCTGCTGCTGCATCGCTACGCGCGTAATCGTTTTAATTGCACTTTCAATTAAATTTGATGAAATAGTGCGCGCGCGCGCCAGTATATATACCTATATACACATACGGCTCGAGCGTCGCGCGTCGTCGCTCACAAGCTTTTCTCTCTTGGATAAGCGAGCCTGCGCGAGACGAGACACGCACTCGTGATACATGACGCACGGCTACGTACGCGCGACATTCGATATTTTTCCACCTCTTTACCTTGCTTTTTTTTCTTCTTCTTCTCTCGATGAGAGAGAGAGAGAGAGAGAGAGCTCATTAAAGAAACGACGCTTCGCGTAATTGTGTACGAGTACCCGCGTTTTTCTACGATTATTTTTCTACGCGCAGGATAATACGGAAAGAAAAAATAAACGGCTCGTTTAACGAATTGTTAATGTTTGCGCCCACGCACGCGATTCGCACTTGGAAAACGCGGTGCGTATTATGTGGCTCAAGGATCACACATCGAGTAAAGGGCGAAGGATATTACGATAAAATAATCCGCGAAGGAGTACTCGACGCAACTCGAGTATACAAGGGTCGATATTGCAACGGAAGAAAAAACAATATAGCAAAATGATGGTAATATAGTTTCTATACACTACCGATCGATCGATCGTAATACACTCGTCGAAGTAGATCGACTTAATTTTCAAGTATACCGGGATGTAGGAAGAATTACGAATGAGCTTGCGTGTAGTGTGCGGTACACGATTGTTGAGCAAATGTTACCTGGAGAGCGATATGTATATACGTCGTAAGCAATTACACACGAGGGAGAAAGAGTAAGAGAGAGAACCGATATCAATTGCCTCGGCAACATCGTTCGCGCGTCTTTTATATTTATCGCCGTGTATCGCGTATATATGCTCGGGTTGGTCGTAGCGCAGAGTATCGCGAAACATCTGTATAGCGGTTATATATTATTATACAGTATACTTTGCACTTGGAGAACGTAAAGGTACACACAAGTGGATACGAAGCTTCGCAAAAGCGTAACAGAGATAGAAAATATATATAAACTAACGAGCTAGATAAATGGTACCGCACGCCCAACGAGCACGATACGTTTTCTCTCTCTGTCTCCTTTTTTTTTCTCTTTCTCTCTCTCTCTCTCTCTTTTTTTACCTGCGCGCCCAGCGAGCTATAAATGCGTTTGACCGATGTGCGCAAGCGAGCGAGCGAGCACGTACATGTTAAATAAAAAAATTAAAAAAGAGAAATTACGCGCGGGCCAAAGTGCAAACGAGGATAAAAAGCGCGCGCGCACACGGCGACGAAAAAAAAGAATCAACGCAGAAGACCAAACGAGACAAACTAAAATCCCCGCCGAGGAACTCATTAGTGCACTTCTATATGTGCGGACCTAGTATAGCTCGTTAGCCCGGCAGCATGGTAGAAGCAGCAGCAATCCGACAGCCTGCAATTACGCAGATCCGTGGTCGCTCGTACGCGTTAGAAACACCGTAGCTGAGCTATCATGGTTCTATTTTATCTCTCTCTCTCTCTATCTACGCATTAATTTCCCCGCAAACGTCGCTTCTTTCTTTATTTCCCCTCTCTCTCTCTCTCTCTCTCTCTCTCTCTCTCTTATCCCGCATTATAGTTATTCGCTCGCGGCCGACGTCGTGGATTTTATCCAAAACTGCGGGATGTTTAAGTGAGATGTAACTCGCGATCGTCACATATTTTGTCAATGAAGAAAATATGATTGAAATATATTAATTGCCCGTATAATGTAAAATAGACTTGACACATAAGAGACACTTTATAATATAACAGTAAAATCACTCTTTAATCTCATTTTTCCTTAACAATATGTGATTGATAGAAAAGTGATTAGACACTAGACAAGACATACATAATTTCATTTCTTTAAAAACGCAGTTTTGCTTCGTCGACATTGATCGAACTTCGGTATTTCGTAGTATGATTTGTAAATATGATTAAAACTACTTGAAGACCATAAAGCTATACTTATCGCTGTACTTTTGTAAACACGTCACGCAAAGTTATTCGCGATCACATCGCGCACGCCGCACAGTGCATAGTTCTCCGCGTGCCGCGCACAACAAAACACTCAACATATAGATACTGTTATACACAGAGAGGTTATGCATCCGACCAATGTATACACAAGAGAAGTAGAGTGCTCTTGGACCGTTTTCCCGTAAAGTTGGCTCGATAATCGCAGAAAGAATATAATTGCTAACGAAATCACAAGTGCAAACAATGGAAACCAGTGATATACTTAATTGTGCTGTCAGGTAATTCTAATTTTATAAGGATGAAACGATAAAACATTAAAACGAAATACTTGATCATAATGGGGTTATTTCAGAGTGAAAGAGGAGCCTAGCGATGAACCTGATCTACAAAACTTTCTACTCTCATCGTTTCCGAGAGACAATTCAGTAAGTGTTAATAATTTTTATGTAATTCTTATTGTAATTATATGTAATTTTTCACAGACCCATACTATTCAAAAACGAGAAGTGAATTATGGAACCGAACTTGATGACGAAGTGAAAATTATCGTCGAATGTGAAGACGTCAAGCCCGATTTTAATCTATTAGCAGTTAATAAAATTCATGATTATTCGACAAACTACTTGCAGAATGCAAAAGATGGCAACAGTTATAAAACTCGAAACTCAATTAAAATAAAAGCCGCGCAGGAAGTGAAACAAGAATTTGTTGGCGATGATGCAGAGGAATCGAATAGGGATTTCGATTGTGAACTTGTTGAACCGATTAAAAAACGAAAAAAGGCAAAAAACTTTATCAAAGAACATGGAATACCGACTAATACTATGCATAATAATTCAACCCATGCAAGTGTAATATGCGGAAAGACATTCCCAACAAAGCAAAATCTCAAAGTCCACATCGATTCGGTACACATTAGTACTAAACATACCAGCAATACACGTGGAAAGACATTAACACGAAAAGGTAATCTCAAAATCCATGAGGATTCGGTGCATAAAAAAATAACTCATACATGCCATTTATGCGAAAAGAAATTCTCAAGCAAGACGTATCTCAAAGTTCACATCGATTCAATACATGATGGTATCACACATATATGCGATACATGCGGAAAGCATTTTACTCAAAAAACTAGTCTGAAAGTCCACATCGATTCGTCCCACAATGGTGTCAAACATACGTGTGATATTTGCGGGAAATCATTTCAACAAAGAAGTAGTATTAAAAAACACATCGATTCGATACATAACGGTATCGCACATAACTGTGATATGTGTGGAAAGATATTTAAACAAAAATGTAATCTCAAAACCCACATCGATTCGGTGCATAATGGTGTCAAACATGCGTGTGATATTTGCGGGAAATCATTTAAACAAAGAAGTACTCTGAAAAAACACATCGATTCGATACATAACGGTGCGTGATACGTTTCACACGTATCACGCATAACTGTGATATGTGTGAAAAGATTTTTACACTAAAATGTAATCTTAAAACCCACATCGATTCGATACATTACTCCCGCATCAAAAATGAATGAAACTATTAAATTTAATGAACATGTTTGAAAGATTCATTTTTCATTTTTCATTTATAGTAGTATCATATGTTTCTCTAATGTTATCTCATTATGTAATAACAGTGTTCAAATTAAAAAATACCAATAAAACAAAATTTCAAGCTTATATAATGTTTATTCCCTTTAATTGATGTCAATTTTCAGCTTTCTAGTCACTTTTCAACACGCTTTTGCTAGCCCTGAATACCGTACGCTTAATTTTTTCCCGTCTCACTCACTAACTTTAAAAATTTTCAAAACTTTTCTTCCCATCACTTTTTATAAGTAAAAATAAATAAATAAAAGATAAGAGAACGATTGCACGACGACGACCATTGGTGGCGCCAGCTCGATACCATATATACCTCCGTGTATGTGCGACCAATTCCGCAAACTTGTTTTCATTCTCTCGAACGACAGCATAATATAGAAATTCTACGTCCACCGTCGTCGTCGTCATCGTCGCAAAAAAAAGTAACGAAAAGTTTTTCCCGCTCGCGATTCTAATCCAAGTCTAATCCAAAGAGAGATCCGACGAGAAACCGAAATGAAAAAAAAAAAAGTAGATGATTTTTTTTCGCGATTACCGCTACATTTTCTCTTGTGCACTCGCATGCGTGGGCGCGCGCGCGAGCGAGTGTCGTCGAATATATACATCACAACCCGATGGATCGTAACACGGGGGGGGGGGNGGGGGGGGGGGGGGGGGGGGGTACGACGTATACAATCGAGCGAGCTTCGAGACCGACGTGTACGTACACACAGTTTTTTCCGATTACTCGTCCTGGGTAGGTGAGCTATATGATATACCATTCACAAAAGTATTTTTTTCATGCATAAAACCTCGGTTGTATACGCGTATTATAAAAAGAAAGCAAACGCAAAAAAAAACAAACAAGAAATAGGTTTGCTGTGCCAAGAGAGATTAATATACACACTGGCGCGAGCTAGCTCGATAGTGCACTGCACTCAGCCGATTGCACGCGCTATAACGCGGAGGCATATGTACATATTACATATTATATATAATTTATTGTATATTAATTCTCGTTATAAATCACAGGTTTTCCCGATTCAATATTTGCGCGTAAATTGACATTGTATACGATATACACGGGTATGATAAACAGCCGCTACCGCCGGGCAAGGGAACTTAGGCAGTCGCCGTACCTTATATATTATATATACCTAGAGATTGCGCAACACCTTGAAATATCGCGAGTCATAATACGTATAAGCTCAATTATATGTGCGTCAATGTATCGGCCAAGAAACTAGCCGGAGGGTACATATACACACGTCGATGTTGACACTGTATGATTATAGATTCGACCCTTTTTCCCGCGCCGCGATCGATTTTCATCAATCACGCTTGTTAGCCCCCGTCTAGGCTAGAGTATTTTTCCCCCCGTAAGCGAGCTTGTATAAATACGCGTATTCACTTACTATATACGCGTGTACAAGCAGCAACTGTGATTATATACACTCGGCAACAAAATTATCGCAACAAAAAAATTCATCGAAATTTTGTCGATTTTCAAATGCTTCTATCTTGGGCTAGATTTATCGTATCGACACGCTTTTTTTTTTAATTTCTTGGAAATTTTGTCCTCTTTAAATCCATATAAATTAAGATAAGATTTGAGTCAGTGTTGAGTTACCAGTAGTATTTGAGCGTGACCCTAAAAATTACTGAAAAAAAATGACTGTTTGAACGTGTACCAGTACCACAGTGATTTTTTTATCGAAATCTAACATACACCATCGCAAAGTGCTCTTTTTAACGAGTAATTTAAAAAAAAAAAGACCTCTCTACGATTTTTTTAACGCCATGTAGGTCGATTTGAAGGTACGGTTTATGTACGCATAATGCCCAGAAAATCGTCTTGATTTCAGGTAAACGGGGGATTTTACGTACTTTAAATGGTATCTTCAAATCGACCTACATGGCGTTAAAAAAATCGTAGAGAGGTCTTTTTTTTTTAAATTACTCGTTAAAAAGAGCACTTTGCGATGGTGTTTGTTAAATTTCGATAAAAAAATCACTGTGGTACTGGTACACGTTCAAACAGTCATTTTTTTTCAGTAATTTTTAGGGTCACGCTCAAATACTACTGGTAACTCAACATTAATTCAAATCTTATCTTAATTTATATGGATTTAAAGAGGACAAAATTTCCAAGAAATTAAAAAAAAAAGCGTGTCGATACGATAAATCTAGCCCAAGATAGAAACATTTGAAAATCGACAAAATTTCGATGAATTTTTTTGTTGCGATAATTTTGTTGCCGAGTGTATTTCATCGAATTATATCCCGAAATCGATGAAAAAAAATCTCTCTCTCTCCATTTTTCGTGTACATACATACTTTGTATACACCGAGATTCGAGCTTAAGTAAACTCGATCATGTATTATATATGCCTCTGAGCTTCTTTTTTATTTTTACTTGTCGCGATCAGATCCTGTGTGTAAAAGAGTTAGAGTGCAGTAAGCCGACTGGATTTGCCCGCTCTTAAGCTCCGAGACATTGATTTATATTTGTGTGTAACTCGCTTCAACTCGCTCGCGCGGCGGCGGCAAGCGGATCCTCTGTATGCCGCTGCTGCTGCTGCTGCTGCCCCATAAATTTTACCTCCGTCGTTGGTACTATATACATACAGTCAAGCGTATTATATACACGAGCCGCTGTTCTGGTGTGTGTGTATGTGTGTGTACGGTGAGTGAGCTTTTTTGCTGCAATCGTTGCGCACGTCCGCTCGACCGAATCTCGTTTACACAATTGTGTGTATGTGTATGCGCGTGTGTGTTTTTACAGACTCGGGGGATGATAACTCTTTCATTTGTAACCGACTTGGACAATCTGACGAGCGAAAACAATCGTGTCCGCGCACGATGCACGCGTGCATATTGCGTGGATCGTTATCATCCTCGGCCCGTAGATTACTCTCTCGTTGTTACCGTGTATGCAATACGGATCGAGGCAAGATTAACCGTGGCCACACAGACGTATTATATGCGCTTTGCTTTGGGAGGCAGCAGCTTTGCGACGCGTCCCTTTGACTCGAGACAGCTGACACACACACACACGCACACGCACGATGATGGACATAGATTTACGCGCAAGGTCGAGTCGCTGCTGTATATATATAAGCTCGGTAAAGTGCCGTATACGCCTACTCGTTGTACGCAGTAGTTAATGTATAGTATAACAGCATCCCACTTTTAGAGGCTTCCGTTGATGCCCGCACACATAGAGTCGAGCGAGAGAGAACTGCTCGAGTGTAGGTACACTACGTACACGTAGACGACGATCGCATCACGATGATCGTCGTCGTTGTTGGAGCGACTTGACATTTTTCAAGCTTTTTTCCCTTCGGTACTACCTTATAAGCTGTGTGCTTGCGCACACGCCATATACCTACTCAAAAAAAAAGAGTGGCAAAGTGAGTCTGGGCTCGCGTTAAGATAAGCTTGACTGAACGCTGCTGCTTATACTACTGCTGCTCTCGTGTGCGCGTCTCTTTCAACACGTGTCGGGAGCAGCAGCAGCAGCGGTAAGAGCTTGCCTTGTAGTTAACAGCCTTTTCTTTGCCGCGCGTGGATAAAATAAACTTTATATACATATATACGCGTCATCGTCGTGTACCGAAGAAGAAGTAAGAAGAAGATGACGATGAACAAGAGCTTTTAGGCTTTTATCCATACATCGTGCTAGGCATATTATGCACGCTCGATGTAGCAGCGCCACGACCTTTTCCCATGTTTAATTATCGACCTCGTACATTATAGTGTTTACGTATATATATAAGCCTTATAATTCCTCCGTCCGAACGTGTGTGTGTGCGAGAGTCGATGGAAAAAAACTGCCCCGTCCCCCTCCGCAAAAGCTCCCGAATATTACACATCGGCGCTCGGCTCCCCAACGATTTTTCTTTTTTTCTTTTTTTTTTTTTTTTTTGCTTCCAATCACGAAAAGTACACACGAGACGGAAAGTCTCTCTCTCTTTTCATCAGCGTTTTTCCGTGCGTGTGGCACGCGTATACACGTAGTAGCAGCAGCAGCAACCACAGCAGCAGCAGCAGCAGCAGCAGCAGAGGAAAATTCAACTCTCGAGTCGCATCTCGAAAGCAAGAAGGCACGCGCGCGTATAGAGCACCGCGGCCCCACGGATGGTGCTCGTGATTTTCGCGCGCGCAAGCTAGGCGAGAGAGAGAATTTTCCCTCGGATATATATATAAAATACACGACGCTGCGCGAAATTCGCAAGCTCGGCACAAAATTAATCCTCTCTCGTATATTTATGCCGAGTATAATTATATTTATCCCTATGAAGTATATACATTTATTACACGCGGTATGCATGGCATGGCCTCTTCAGTAGCTCTCCTCTCTTTGACTTTTAGCTAGCTAGTATATGCAGTGGCACACTTGGCCCTTTGGATAAAATACATTTTGCTCGCGAGCTTTTGTCGGGGAGTAGAGGACGAGAGAATTTGTATATGTGTGTACGCGTGGCGTAT